ATGTAGATAAAGGAAATGCTGTTCCAATTAAGCAACATCCTTATAGACTTAAGCCCTAAAGTTGTCACAGGTTCAAAAACATATTGAATGCATGCTCAAAGACAACATAATCAAAGTGAGTTGCAGCGATTGGAGCTCACCCATAGTAATAGTGCCAAAACCAGATGGTATCCAACAATCATGTGCAGACAATTGTAAAGTCAATATGGTTACAAAGTTTGATTCATATCCTGTTCCACGTTTGGAAGACTGTATTGTGAAGGTGGGACAAGCAACTTATATTTCTAAGTTGGACTTACTCAGAGGATACTGGCAGGTACCTTTACCTGAAAGAGCAAAGACAATTTCGGCTTTCACGGCACTGAATGGACTATACCAGTTCAAAGTCATGCTGTTTGGTATGAAAAATGCACCAGCCAAATTTCAAAGACTAACTAGTAAAGTCATTTCTGGATTAACCAGTTGTGTGGTAAACATCAACGACCTGGTGATTTTTAGTCACACATTGAAGGAACATTTGCAGCATTTATTGGAATTATTCAATCGACTTTGGGAGGCAGGCTTGGTGATCAACCTAGCTAAGAGTGAATTTACAAAAGCTCAAGTCACGTTCCTGGGTCATGTTATTGAACGTGGACAGATGGCCCCATGGGACGTAGAAACAAAGATTATTGGGGAGTTTCCCATTACCATCGACAAAGAGAGCAGTATGAGAAACATAGAAATAGAGAAGATAGAAGCAGGACGAGGCCATTCGGACACTTGAGCCTCCCCTGCCATTCTCCAAGATCATGGCTGATTGTCCAACTCAATAGCCTAATCCAGCTTTCTATCCATAAACTTTGATCCCATTCACCTCAAGTGCTATATCTAGTTGCTTCTTGAATACATTCAATGTTTTGGCATCAACTACTTCCTGTGGTAATGAATTCCACAGGCTCACCACTCTTTGGGTGAAGAAATATCTCTTCATCTCTGTCCTAAATCGTCTATCCCGAATCCTCATACTATGACTCCTGGTTCTGAACACACCCACCATCAGGAAGATCCTCCCTGCATCTATGCTGTCCAGTCCTGTTAGAATTTTATAAGTCTCTATGAGATCCCCCTCATTCATCTGAGCTCCAGCAAAAACAATCCCAACCTCGTCAATCTCTCCTCATACATCAGACCTGCCATGCCCGAATCAGCCTGGTAAACCTTTGCTGCACTCCCTCAAGAGCATCCTCCCTCAGAAAAGGAGATCAAAACTGCACATAATATTCCAGGTGTGGTCTCACCAAGGCCCTGTACAACTGCAACAACACATATCTGCTCCTGTACTTGAAACCTCTCGCAATGAAGGCCAACATACCATTTGCCTTCTTTATTGCTTGCTGCACCTGCATGCTTACCTTCAGCAAATGGTGCACAAGGACGCCCAGATCCCGCTGCACACTCCCCGTCCCAATTTACAGTCATTCAGGTGGTCATCTGCCTTCTTGTTTTTGCTTCCGAAGTGAATAATCTCACACTTATCCAAATTCTACTGCATCTACCATTGATTTCCCCACTTACCCAACCTGTCAAGATCATACTGAAGGATTTCTGCATCCTCATCATAGTTCATCCTCCCATCCAACTTGGTATCATCTGCAAACTTGGAGATGTTACTACGATTCCTGGGCTTGAGTGGGTTTATCAGAAGTTCATACTGAAGTTTAGCAGTGTGGTTGCTCCATTGACTGACTTACTGACAAGTGTAGAACATTTCAGTGGGCAGTGGACTGTCAGAAGGCATTTGACAGCCTGAAAGCTGTGTTAAACGCTGCTCCAGTGTTAGACACACCTAACTATACAAAGTCAATCAAGGTGGCTATCAACATGAGTGATGTGGGTGTCCGTGTTGTACTCTTACAAGAAGATGTCAAGAAGACACAATTGTATATATTGATCATGACACACTAAAGTCTTTGGAGAAATTTAATGACAAAACTTCCTGATTGTTTAGATGGAGCTTATTAGTGCAGCCATTCAATTTGAAAATTATACATGGCAGGATGAGAAAATGTAATTTCAGATGCTTTGTTGCGACTTTGATAAAGAAAGACAGTGATGTGCGGTGGAAGGAGTAAACGGACTGAAGTAGAATGTAGTAGTGAATGTTTGCATGCTTGGAGTCAATGTAATGTATACGTATTGTAGTGTACTAGTAGAATAAGATTAAGGGTTTTAAAAATGAAGCCATCAGCTTATATTGATGGGGTTTTTTAAGGGGGGGAGGCGTGAGCATGCTGTCACTTTAAAAAGTTATTTTGTCCTGTTTTTCATTAAGAGAGGTTATAAGGCAGAACTGCCGAACTGGCTACTTGAAGACGACTTAAGTAAGCAACTTGAAGCCTTTAGCTTCTTTTAAAATTGGAATTTTAGGATCTGTGTCTAAATTGGCCTTTTTGCCAAGAGGTGTGATTATGGGAAGTTACTATATTGGAACAGTTAATTAGTAATAGGTACTGTATCTATTATTCAATTAAATTTTCCAACAGTTACTATAAATTCCTCCTTTCCTTTGTTTATATTTTAACTGTAGTATTTAAATAAATTGTGATTTGCTTAATGTCGAGTAGTTTGATCAGTCACATCATATCTGGAACACAGCATTTCACATCAACCTTTAAAATAAGAAAAAAGTTAGGGTCTAAGCTACCTTCTTAAAATATTTTGAAGTGGTCTGGTCTGATCCAAAACATGAATACCATTGAACATTAAAAGGAGAACTTGAGATGGTTTTTGCCATCTCAAAGTTATTTAATATGTAAGTTACTCACCATATCCTCCCAAACCTAGATGTTGTCCAGGTTTATATCCACTAAGACATGAGCTGTTTCAAGATCCAAGGAGTGGAGAATGTCATTGAATTTTGTACATCATCTTGCTTCATGTTTGGAGGAAGGGTGGAAAACATAGTTGAAACAGTTGAAGATGATTGGGCCCTGACACTACCTGAGGAACTCCTCCAATGATATCCTGGGACTGAGATGTCTGACCTCCAGTGCACAACCAACCTATGTGCTTGTTCTGATTTCAACTACTGGAGAATGTTCTCCAGTTCTAGTTTTGCTAGGAACCTAGGTGGTAAACTTGATCAAATGCTACCTAGATGTCAAGGAAAGTCTACTACTGGAATTCAGCTCCTTTGTTGATGTTTAGACCAAAGCTGTCTTGAGGTCAGAAGCTGAGTGGTTCTGGAGAACCCAAATTGAGCAAACAGGCTGTTGCTAAGCAACTGCTGTTTGATAGCACTGAAGATCCTTTCATTGCTATCTGATGTTTGAGAATAGACTGAAAGGACAGCAATTGTCTGTGTTAGATTTGGGCTGTTTCTTATGGACAACATAACTGGACTACTTTCCAGATTTTTGGATAGATGCCAGCATTGTAGCATATTGGAATAACTTGATAAGAGCCATGGCTGCTATGGACCGCAAGTCTTTAAAATTGTTGCTGGAATGTTGTCAGGTCCTGTAGGCCTTGTAATGGCTAATGCCTTTAGCTGTTTCTCTTTACACTTCTGGCTGAAAATGTATGAAAATATATTAGTCCCGTCTTTTGCACTGATAGAGTGGACTCCTCCCTCATTGAGGATCGGGACATTTTTGGAACCTGCACTTCGTCTTTGTTGTTTAATCATCTACCACCATTCACAACTGGATGTGGCAGGACTGTAGCACTTAGATCTGAACCACTGGTTTTAGGATAATTTAGCTCTGTCCATTTCATGCCATTTCCAGTGTTCAGTGAAGCTGTAACACAGAACTATTTGCATGCTAGTTTCATACCCCAATTTTAGGTATGCCTGGTGCTGCTTCTTCAAATGAACCAGAGTTGATCTCCCAGCTTAATGTTAATGGCAGAATAGGGAATACAGTGGGCCATGAGGTTACAGATTGTGATGGAATACAAACTGTTGCCAATGGCCTACGGTGCTTCATAGATACCCTGTTTTGTGTTTCAGGATCTGTTCAATCTGTCATGTTTAAAACAGTAGTAGTGCCACACAACACTAAACAAGTCATATTGCAATAGAAACTTTGATTCTGTTTCTCGGTCGACTGATGCTGCCAGACCCATTGAGTTTTCCTGTACTTTCTGATTTCATTATAGGAGGTTTCCTTGTCTATGTTTGACCTTATGCCATGAGACTTAATGGGAGTTGAATTCAATATTATGGACTCCCAAGGCAACTCAATCCTAACTGTATATCATGCGCTGTCACCTCAAGTGATTGTGGTACCTAAGCCATTCATACTCTTAGAATCATACCATACTAACAATGTCAGGGATTTGCTCAACCAATTTGTGAGACAGCTTTCCTAATTTTGGCACATGATCCCAGATAATACCACTATGCTACCTCCCCAATGAAATACCATCTCACCAATACCATCACTCAATTTCAAAAGCCAACAAAACTCCAAAATAGTAGCAAATTATTTTTGAAGTCTGCAAGAAATCAAATTTAAAATCATATGATGCAAGAAACATGATTAGACCCATTGTACTTGTACCAGGTCTCTGAAATCTGTCAGTCATCCCACTCCCTGGTTCTTTCAACGCAGCCCTGCGCTTTTTCCCTTTCAAGAATCAATCAATCCAATGCCTTTCTAATGTTACTGGTATCTGCTCCCACCAACCTCCTGGACAGTGCATTCCAGATTACAGTCAATTCTGAACACACACAAAAAATAATAACTTCTTTATCCCACTTTTGTTTATTTGTCAAACCTAAATATAATTCCATGAATAGGTTTAAACTAATATTTTGATACTGAAAATCTTTTGTCATAGAAAATACAGATTTTTATGGGAATGTAGATGTAGTTTAGTGTAACTGCTGATAATTGAGGATGATTGTGAAATGAAAAATAAGCTAAAACTTCACAATTCTTTAATTGTCATTTTCTCAATAATTTTTTTTCATATAAAACTCATTAAATATGCAATTACTTCTTTATTTTAAGATTGCTGCAAAATTCTGTGACAAAGTGTTCACGTCTACATTCAAACCGTGGTGAAGAACATATTTCCTTTGGAGTGCAAGATACACTTTCTTCATCTCAGAAAGTTACAACCCAATCTGAAAGAACAAGACAGAGCATGAACTTCTATGGCAGAGATTTTCCTTTAACTCAGTATCTCAACTCAGAAAGCAGTCAACCTATGACCAACCATGTATGTCAAAATAACTTTATGCATGATCCTTTGGCTCAAGGTGAAAACAATTTTAAGATAAATACTGCCTCTACAAGAAGTAACATGTGCAAAACATCTGTTCTGGGAAAGAAAAGTGTTATTCAAAACAGAAAAAATGAAAGCATTTTCACACAACCAACGGCCAATTTATTTGAAGAAGCAGTGGATAAAGATAATCTTGAAAATAATTCACGTGACAAGCATTTCCTAGAAAGCAACTTAGAGTTCAATGTTCAGGAAAACAATGGCTTTTTCAGAAGTTTTGAGGAATCTTGGAGATCCTTGAAAGACAGAGGAACAGGTTGGTATTGCAAACTACCAATTGCTAGCTAAATCTGTTGTGTCATGACCACTTGTTGGGCAAGGCTGCATAAGTCATTATGATTCCAGGCAGGAAATTATCAAGCTCCTGAGTGAGGAAGGATGAACTGGGTCCCTGTGTTTATTCACCCACCCTTCAGTTGGTCCCGATACTGTTAATTTAAAAAGGGTTCCTTCCTTTATGAATGCCTTTCTCCCAGACCAAGCAAATGTGTTCCTCAACAGGGTCCAGAATCCAACTTAACCAGGCTTGAGTTAACAAGAGAGATTATTTCTTCCAAAACAACAGAATAAATAATAATGCACCACATAGACACAGATTAGAAATAAGAAGCAGCTCCAAAGAAAGATCAAAGATATAATGATATTGTTTGAAAACAGCACATAGTGGAATGTTGTGGCCACTTTTATGGGTGTTATATGCAGCACTGATATTGATAAAGTGAAGGATTGATTTCAAGATGCTTAGCTTTGCAGATGTGCTGAGAAGCTTTCATCCTGATTCCTTTCAAAAGCGGTTTCACTTGTATCACTTAAAGTGAACAGTGTCTTTTCTTTTTATACGTCAAGTGCAGAGGTGTTGAATAGCTATCCTCAAGTAATGATTTTCATAACACAGGTCCACTAACACACCGATTGGAGCTAAAACTGCTTTTTTGACCCTTTTCTTACGTATTCTTGAAAGCGGAAGGTATAAAAATGTTTGCGGTTTAGGTCATAATCTGCGAATGACTTTCTGCTGGCTGTAGGGATGGGAATGTGAATTAGTCCATTGTTACTTATATAGCCGCAACAGATCACAACCCAGTTTGTTTTAAGGTCATAAGAACTTATGAAATAGGATCAGGAGTGGGTTATTCAGCCCCTTAAGCCTGCCCTGCCATTCAACAGGATCATGACTAATCTGTCCCAGGCATCAACTCGTCTTTCGTACCAGCTCCTCATAGCCCTCAAACTTCAATATTTCAGAAATCTACCTACTTCCTCTTTAAATGCTTTCAGTGATCTAGCCTGCACAACTCTCTGGGGTAGAGAATTTCAGACATTCACCACCCTGAGAAGAAATTTCTTTGCAACGCAGCTTTAAATGCGTGTCATCTGATTCTGAACTATGTCTAGTTCCAGACTCCCCACTAGTTCAAACAACTTCCCAACATCTACCCTATCAGTTCTGGTCAGAATCTTTAGCTGTTATTGATAAGTGAATCTCTTCATCCCAGGAATCAGCCTAGTGAATCACTTTTGAGCTGTCTCCTATAAAGGAAATATAGTGCCAATATATCCTTTCCTAAAGACAGGATCAAATGTGTACACAGTACTCAATGTAGACTCACCAACACCCTGCACGGTTGCAATAAGACTTCCTTGTATTTAAACTCCAGCTCCCTAGCAATGGAAGACAAAATTCAATTTGTCGTCTTAATTAATTGTACACTTGCATGCACATGCATATGCAGAAGAATACCTAGATCCCTCTTGGTGTACTTTTTGGAGTCTCTCTCCATTTAAATAATAGTCTACCTTTTGATTCTCCCTACCAAAGTGTATGACTTCTCACTCTTCTACATTAAACCCCATCTACCATTTTTTTGCCCATTCACTCAATCTAACTGTGCCCTCTTACAAATTCCTGAAAATCCCTGAACCCATATATCTGGTTGCTTTCCTATTGCAAATTTTACCCAGACTCAGCTCACTGTTTGGATAGCTAATGCATTCATAGTCAAGATAAAATTCGAAGATTTCAGGCAGTGGCATATTTAACATTGAGATTCTGGAAATCTGCCAACTCATTTCTGACCTTCCTACCTTTAAAACAAAATTCATCTGCCATTTGCAATAACTGTTGCTTCAAGTAAATTGATTATGACATTTGGGAAGCATGGTGGGTTTCTGGCCAGTCAGATTAATAACAATTAAAACAGTCAGTGATGCAAAAACTGACAGTAGAAATGGGAGGGCATGAGTGAGTAAGTAGGAGGGAGGGGATGTGTGAGTACATGGGGAGGCTGGTTTGGAAGAAATATGTTTAGGTGGAGAATCATCTAATCAGCTGTAACAATGCCAAGAATTTGTTTCAAAGCTGAGATTAAAAAAACTTATATTATGTGTATACTGAAACCCAGTTCCTAAAATTAAGAAAGACAGACCACCACACTGCATTGGATGGGGACATGTACATGTAAGTTTTGCCTTGCCAATAAAGTTGCTCTTGAAAGCCAGTTGCGGGGGTGATTTAAACCTTAGATATTGACATATACAAAAAGTAATAATGCATTGATCAACATCATTTTCAAAATTACAAACAGTACATAGTATCAACATTTTAAGAAGCAGTAAAAGGCCATGCTCCAACTTTTAAGTTGGAAAAGATATCTTGGAACTTTGAAGCCTGGCCATAGTTAGTAATTTACAAGTGTCCTGTGTACAATATAAAATACAAGCTATTTGGTGGCCTCAATAAACCAGCTTCTTTTTGCACACATGTCCTGTTTTTGAGTTCAGGTTTCAATATACATAGGTTCTGAATCTCTCAGCAATTTTAATATCAACCATTGACAGATCTTCTGACACTAGACCTGTAACAATATGGAAGTGTTAGCCATTTGGACACTGTAAACTTTAGGCCCTGTTTGGGGAGATTTGCAACTGTAGTAACTGACATAAAAATCCATTGTATGAAAAACAGGATTCCATCTGCGTTGTTAATGCCATACCTGCACCAATAATAGGCTACTCCACAGTATATAATGACATCCACTCATGACCGACCACCCCATATGCCTTTGTTAATATTTGTCAGCTGCTCTCGAGCAATATTGTTGGATGGCATTTAAGTTCTACTTGTGCAGTTTCAACAAAAGATTACTTAAATATATATTAAGTAAGCACAATTTTGGTAAGGAGTTACAATGCCCTTATTATTGCAGTTCTTAACTTTGTGTACAGTATTTTATGTAAATAAGCATCATTTTGCATGATGCAAGAAGTTCAAGATGAAGGCCCAGTACATCTGACATACTATCAAGAATAAACATTGCCTATTTCTGCTATAACCAGAAAATGATTGTTCATGGCAGCACAGTGGCTCAGTGGTTAGCCCTGCTGCCTCACAGTGCCAGGGACCCAGGTTCAATTCCATCCTTGGGCAATTGTGTGGAGTTTGCACATTCTCCCAGTGTCTGCTTGGGTTTACTCCGAATGCTCCGGTTTCCTCCCACAGTCCAAAAATGTGTAGGCTAGGTGGATTCGTCATGAAAAATTGCCCATAGTGTTGAGGGATATGTAGATTAGGTGGGTTATAGGGAGAATGGATCTGGGTGGGATGCAGTGAGAGTCGGTGTGGACTTGTTGGGTTGAAGGGCCTGTTTCCACACTGTAGGGATTCTGTGATTTATGATTCACAATCCAATGATAACTGTTTCCAGTTGATAGCTCCTTATGTGAATTGATTTTTTTCAGTGCTGAATGGTTCATTTGAAAGTAGTCAATCTCCCAGCTACTCTCCAAAAGAAACGGACAGTTGTTGTAGTGTATTTTCTGACTTGGTGAGTATACAACACTATCTTATAGAACTCTGTGATTACTCAGATATGTTTGAGAGTCTATGGTAGCAATAGTAGCCATGAGTGAATGGGTAAATGTGCCCTCTAATTTTTTTTGTTTTGGGCAAATTATAAACTCTCTGGATTCTACTATCTTTTCCATGTCTAGTTTATACTTCAAAAAACACTGAACTGCTGCAAAGTTGAGAGTGGCCTGTTTATTCCAATGCACGGCACATTCTGGCATGCATCTTACAAGGAGCAGTGGTCATGGTTTGGGTTTCAATGGATAAATGTGATATCAGCGCTGGACATAGCACTTGTAACTTTCAGATTTCATCAATTGTGTGAAACTATAGTTGGCAGGATTCTGACTGAGTAACTCCCGTGTATTCTGTGGAAGAGAAGAAACTCAGGATTTCCCTAAAAATGCAGGCACAAAGCAAAAGCATACTGCATGAATTGTATCCCTATTAGGAAACTATAAAATGAGCAGTTGTAAACTTCTTCAGCACAATCTGTACTTAAAATTATTTTAGTGAATCTATAATGACAATACACTGAAACATCTGTAATGAGAGAACTGCAGGTGCAAATTTGTCAGGGATTATTTGTCATGTAATGGGAATGGATGTGATTAGATAAGGTGATGTATAGCATGATGCAACAGTGACATCAATATCTTGTGCAAGAAGCCATGAGGAAAGCACAGAATAGCCTTTACTGTCATCTTAATGATGATGGTCTAGTTTGATTAGCTCCAAGGGTCATTTTAATTAAAACATTAAGACACAGTATAAGTTAAGCACACATTACAGCAATCAGATGACATGTGCTGACAGTCTGGAAACCTGCAGCAGACTAACTTGCAGGCACTCACAATGTGGCATACACATTGTACATGGAGTCCTCAAAGGTGATTTCTGTTAAGGGCAAGATATACTTACAACTGTACTAGTGAAAGATATGCTTACAAAGAACAGTATTATCTGCAATAATATAAATAAGTGTTAAGAAATCTGCTAGAATCAGGTAGCAATTATTCTTAGTTAAGGGGAAATCCTTACAGGCCACAACCTACCACAAAGGAGAAGGATAGCCATCTCCACAGTGTATAAGCCACGTGGAGACAAAAACCATTGTAGCAGTGGTGGACACTCCTGTTTTGACACAAATTGAGAATATACAATGAAATCAGTGATATTCAAGTAGAAAGGTTTCAAAAGAAATAAAGAAAACTAGAAGATTTGCCTAGCGAGGTGGCACACTAAAAGCTGGTAGTGAGAAGCAATCGCTGACTCGTCGTCTAACCATTCAAAAATTCTGAAGGCCCGCAGAAAGGTCAGTCATTTGGCAGAAGCAATTCCAAAAAGTATCGGACAGTGGCAGGTTTGCAGGCAAAACAGCAGAAACACAAAGTTGTGTATTGCTTTATACTTTTAGGTGTACTACTGATGACATCTATGAGACAGTGGGTAACAGGATATAGTCACACTCGCCAAGTCAGTGGGTTTGGTTGCACAATTTCATCGCCCTGCTAGGTAACATTGGCAGTGTGCCTCCAGTGAAGTGTCAGTGTTCTCTCCCGCTTGTTATTTATATGCCTCGGTTTGCTGGGGTGGTTGGTATTATTTCCAGTTCTGTTTCTCAGTAGTTTGTACACAGAGTCTAATTCAATGTGTTTGTTGATGGGGTTCCGGTTGGAACACCGGGCCTCCAGGAATACCTTGGCATGTCTCTGTTTGGCTTGTGCAATTATGGATGTGTTGTTTCAGTTGAATTTGTGTCCCTCGTTGTCTGTGTGTAGTGAGAAAAGTGAGAAATGGTCGTGTCTCCTGGTGGCTAGTTGGTGTTCATGTATCCAAATAGTCAATTTTCTTCCGGTTTGACCTATGTAGTGTTTCTCACTGTCCTTGCGTGGTATTTTGTATATTAGCCCAGTTTTGGTGGTTTTGGATATGGGATTCCTTCCGTTCGTCAATAGCTGTCGTAGGGTAGTTGTTGGTTTGTGGGCTACTCTGATACCTAGGGGTCTGAGTAGTCTTGTGGTCATCTCTGAAATGTCCTTGATGTATGGTAGGGTGATTAATGAGTCTGGTCGCGTTGTGTCTTCCTGTTGTGGTCTGTCTCGGAGGTAATGGTGGATTGTGCTTTTAGGGTATCCATTCCGTTTGAAGACTCAAAATAGGGATTCCTTTTCTGCTTTGCACATTTCCGGGTTGCTGTAATGTATTGAGGCTCATTTAAATAGTGGCACGGTGGCTCAGTGGTTAGCACTGCCACCTCACAGCGCTAGGGACCCTAGTTCAATTCCAGCCTCGGGCGACTGTCTGTGTGGAGTTTGCACATTCTCCCTGCATCTGTGTGGGTTTCCTCCGGATGCTCCGGTTTCCTCCCACAGTCCAAAGTTGTGCAGGGTGGGTGGATTAATATACTAAATTGCCCATAGTGCCCAGGGATGTTTAGGTTAGATGGGTTAGACAAGGGAAATGTAGGGGTGGGATACTCTTCGGAGGAGTGGTGTGGGCTTGTTCGGCCGAACGGCCTGTTTCCACACCGTAGGGATTCTATGATTTTTTAAATAGTGTCCTGATGGAGCGCCGTTTGTGGGCGTTGGGGTGGTTGCAAGTGTAATTAGGTATCTGTGTGGTCTTTCTATATACGCTAGTCTGAAGTTCTCGTTTTTGCGTTCTGCCATTATGTCCAGGAAGGGTAGTCGGTTGTTGTTTTCTTCTTCTTTCATGAATTTTATCCCAGTAAGGATATTGTTTATGTGTCAGTGGGTTTCTTCTAGTTTTGTGCGTTTAATAATCACAAAGGTGTCATCTACATTACAACCCAACCTTCGGGTCCGATAAGTGGGGAGCGCTGTCCGTTCTAACCTTTACATTACTGCTTCTGCAATCAGTTCTGATATCGTGAACAACACTACTCACTCTACCTACTCTTCCCAAGAATTCCTCAACATGATCAAGGACACCAGCATAGAAGAGGACGAGATAATGATATCCTTTGACGTAACAGCACTATTTACGTCCATAAGCATCGACCTAGCCAAAGAAACAAGTGCCACACTGGACGAATCAAGTAGGAGGCAACCCAGGACACCAACATCATCAATAAGGACACCACATGAAACTACTAGATCTGTGCCTCACAGCCCACTTCACCTTTAACAACAGCATATACAAACAAATCAACGGAACACCAACGGGATCCCCAATATCAAATGCAACCAAACCCACTAGCTCAGCGAGCATGTCTACAACCTCATCCACAACTCGAGCTACAACTCTTCTCAAACTTTAAACAGTAGGTAACAATGTCAAATCCATTCTACAGGCAACATGCATTTCATAAATGTGAGATTTTTACCAAATTACATCTAGTCTTGTTGAATGCATGGGTTAAGGTGTCAGAAGTGAAGCTTTAGCCACTGAGTTACCAACAACTTCAAGCAGCATTTTACTTTCACAGTGGGTGTTGCAATCAACGACATTTTGAAGAAATGAGAAGTGAAATCTCCTGCTTCCTTGGGCTGTACCAAAGGTTTGACTACACTAAAAAGACTGTTTTAGTTCTGCTACCGCAATGATCCTACATTCATGGTAAATGGTGTGTTTTATGAGACAGTTGGGCTGTAAAGGTTAATAACGAAATTTAGGAGTTGCTGTGCCTACTAATACATAAATTACTGTTTCCAGAAGGAGCTAGGAGGTTGTAGTTTGCTGTTAGTCAGTTCTATAGTGCACAACCATAAAGCTTAGATCTAGTTACTATCTCTTAGGAGGTAACAACGTATCATAACTAGTGCTGATGTGGTTAATCAGTCTTCTCATTTGTTATGCAATAAACTTTGTTAATTACGTGTGCACCTTCTTCTGCCAAAGACTTAATAATGGTTAATTCTTCAACATCTAATACTAGAAATACCAGTCTGCAGGCCTTACAAGAAATGTTGGTGGCAGCATATCTACCTTCTTTAAGTAGATGCTACTACCACCAAGTGTCAGCTGTAGGTATCACTTACAACAGAGAATTTTGGGAGACGAACAGAACAATGTGAAGATCTATTGTAACCAATTGTGCACCATTAATCTGCTTCACCTTGATGCAGATTGCAAAATATAGGTGTTTTAACATCCAAGACCCTTTTACTTTAAATATCTAAGTTCCAAATAACAATGGAGTTCTCATTTGTGCCTGACCTATAAGATCATAAGAAATACGAACAGGAGTAGGCTGTTCAGCTCCTCAAGTCTGCTCTTCTGTTCAATACGATCATGGCTGATCCAATGACACTTCTCACATCAACTTTCCTGCCCTTTCCCTATTACTCTTGATTTCCCTACTGATCAAGAATTTATCTGAACTTTAAATATACACAAGGACTGTACCCTCACAGCTCTCTGTGACAAGGAGTTCCAAAGGTATTCAACCCCCAACCCCGAGAGTAGAAATTCCTCCTCATCTCAGTCTTAAATTGGTGCCCCTTAATTCTGAGACTGTGCCCTCTGGTCCTAGACTTTACCATGAGGGAGAATGTCATCTCAGCATTTACCCTGTCAAGTCTCTTAACAACCCTTTATGTTTCAATGAGATTACCTCTCATTTTCTAAATTCCAATGAGTAGAATCCCAACCTTCACTCATAATACAATCCTTCCATACCAGGGATCATCCTAATAAACCTTCTCGGAACTGCCTCCAATGAAATAATACCTTTCCTTAAATAATGGGACCAAAACTGCTCACGGTACTTCAGATGCTGACTTCCCTGCTCTTGAACTCCAACCACCTTGAAATAAGGACCAACATTTCAATAGCCTGCTGCATCTTTGTGCCACCTTTCTGCAAGTTTGCTCTACTTAAATAATACTGTTCTTTTGTTCTCCCCTCCAAAATGAACAACTTCACAAATTACACTATTTGCCAACTTTTCACCTACTTAATTAATCTATGAATATCTCTGGGTAAACTAGTTTGTTTGTATCCCTCTCACAA